TCATCTGCCCTTCCATTCTAAATGATAGCTTTGCTAGATAGAGCAATCTTGGATATAGGTCCTTGCCTTTCATGACTTCAAATACTTCTTTCCAGTCCCTTCTTGCCTGTAAGATCTCTTTTGAGAAATCAGCTCTCAATCTAATGGGAACTCCTTGGTAGATAAGTGTCTCCTTTTCTCTTGGTGCTTTTAAGATTCTCTCCTATCTTTCTTCTTGGGTAACTTAATGATGATGTGCCTTGATGAGGTCCTCTTTGGGTCCAACTGCTTTGGGACTCTCTGAGCTTCCTGGACTTCCTGGAAGTCTATTTCCTTGACGAGATTGGAAAATGTTTTCCTCATTATTTGTTCAAATAAGTTTTTAATTTTTTGTTCTTGTTCTCCTTCTGGCACCCCTATCATTTGGATGTTGGAAGGTTTAAAGTTGTCCTGGAGGTTCCTAAGCTTCTCTTCATTTTTTCAATTCTTTTTCTTCATTCTGTTCTGGTTGGAGGGTTATTTCTTCCTTTTGTTCCAAATTGTTGCTTGGAGTCCTGGTTTCCTTTCTGATACCGTTGGTTCCTTGAAATTTTGCTTTGTTTCACTTAGGGTATCCTTCATTTGTTCTTTCATTTTGTGACAAAACTCAACCATTTCTGTGAGCATTTTGATTACCAGGGCTTTGAACTCTCCATCAGACAGGTTGGCTGTCTCCTCGTGGCTTAGCTCTCTTTCTGGAGTTTTGCTTTCTCATTTCATTTGGGCCATATTTCTTTGTCTCAGTGCACCTGTTAAGTTGTAGGGGAACAGGGCCTTCGGTACTCACCCTCTTTGCTGGGTGAGCAACCCAGCAGGGTGAGGGCAGGGCAACCCTCTTTGCTGGGGCTGTGGTGCTGCCTGTGTGGGAGGGGCCAGAGAGAGGACAATGCAGCTCACCTGCTGGGCTCTAGCCCACTTTCCAATGAACCCTTGAACCCTCAAGTGAGACTGGGCATTTCTCCCCCAACAGCAACCCCTGCCATAGTCTACAGTCAGCTATGAGTCTGTTTCCGGTCCAGCCAGCCCTGCCCACATGGTCCACCACCTCGCCACAGGTTCTCTCTGTGCCCCTCGTACCGGTCTGGTTGGTCTTGTTGGTCTGGTTGACTGTTTCTTTAACTGCTTGGTTGTGGGAGTTCCATGCAGTTTGATTTTCTGGCACTTCTTGTGGTTTATTGTTTTCAGATTGGTTGTTACCCTCCTGTTGGTTGTATGAGGAAAGGAATGGTTTCTACCTACACCTCCATCTTGGCTGGAACTCTCCTCACGTGTGAGTTTTGAGGTGTATACCTAGGAATATAACTATTACATATTAAACTATTACTTCAGAGACAGGGATTGCAGGAGACAACAGATAGACGACCTTGTCCTTATCAGAACTCTGTACTGTTTGAATTTTTAAAAATTGTGTTTTGATGATAAAACGTGATTTGTAAAGTGTTTTAAATGGGAAACTAGAATCTGTTCGTGAGAAGTGGCTTTTCCATTAACTAATGATTGTAGTGGTGAAGGGAATCTCAATAACTGTAAATGCTGAGGACTATTCCATGTCTCATTGTGCAATTAGCTTATTTATTTGTTTACTCTTAATTGTCTGCCTTTCCCATTTGAATGGAAGCTCTGTGACAGCTGACACCTAAGTACCTATAAAGTCATCAGTCCCAGCCTCCAACGTCACTCCCTCAAACTAACACAATAGCCTCTTCACCCTTCACTGCTTCTGCTCCTTCCCTGTGTATTGGTTTGCTAGGGCTACTGAAACCAAGGACCACAGACTGGGTGGCTTAAAGCCCTACAAATGGATTGTTTCAGGGTCCTGGAGGCTAGACATCCAATGTCAAGGTGTTGGCGAGGTTGATTCCTTCTGAGGCTCTGAGAGAGCCTGTTCTGTGACTCTCCCCCAGTTCCTGGCAGTTTGCTGGCAAATCCTCCAGAATGGCTCTGCCCTCTCCCCTCCTGGGTCTGTATCTCTTGTCCTCTTGTTACAAGGACACCAGTCATTTTGGATGGAGGGCCCACCCTACTCCAGTAGGACCACCCTCACTGATTACATCTGCAATGGCTCTATTTCTGAACAAGGTTGCTTTGGAAGGTACTGGGGTTCGGACTATAAGATTTCTCTGTTTTGGGGGGAGGGCTTGTACAAGGCAACCCATAAAGGCAGTACATCTTTTCTTTTTAAAAAAGATTTTATTTTGCCCTGGCTGGTGTAGCTCAGTGGATTGAGCATGGGCTGCGAACCAAAGGATCACCAGTTCAATTCCCAGTCAGGGCACATGCCTGAGTTGTGGGCCAGGTCCCTGGTTGGGAGCGTATGAAAGGCAACCACACATTGATGTTTCTCTCCCTCTCTTCCTCTCTCCCTTCCCCTCTGTCTAAAACTAAATAAATAAAATTGTAGAAAAAATTTTATTTTTATTTATTTTTAAAGAGAGGGAAAGGGAGGAAGAGGGGGAGAGAAACATCAATGTATGGTTGCCTCTTGTACGCTACCTACTGGGGACCTGGCCAGCGACCCAGGCATGTGCCTGACTGGAAATGGAACCAGCTGCCCTTTGGTTGCCAGGTTAGTGCTGAGTCCACTGAGCCACGCCAGCCAGGGCAAGGCAGTATGTATTTTGTTTATTATATGACATGTCTCCTCAGTAGAATGTAACCTTCACAAGCAGGGATTTAGTTAAATTTGATAGCCTTACAGATATTGTTGTTGACTTTTAAATTAGGTTAAACTTTTGAACAGGCAATCATTTACATGGTTGAAAGTCAAAGTGATATTAAAATGTACCTAGAGAAGTTTCATTTCCATTCCTGCCTCTGGCTATCCAGTCTTCCCTACCTCGGTAAGTCACTATTTTGATTAGTCCTCCAGAATTTTTTATGAAAATATATACATATGTGCATATATATGTACCCATATAGTCTTATTTTCGTACTTACACCAAAAATATCATTATATACATAGGCTGCACCTAGCATTGTTTCCTTGAAACTATTTCCTGGACACTATTCCATATCATTTTATAGAGAACTTCATCTTTGTTACAGTGCTTTGTATTGCTTCTTAGGGACATACTATATAGTTGATTTAATCAACCACCTATTCATAAACAGGGACAGAGACCCACCAGGCACACCCACTGAGGGGCACAAAACTGTGCCTGGTCTCCCTGGCGCTGAGGTCAGGCTGGGCCTGTGCACCCGCTGAATCAGCACTTCCCTAGCAGACGGGGGCTCCTGAGAGCTGCTCTTCATTTGTTTATGTTTACTTTTCAGACAAGAAATTTAGTCCATAACATAGGCAACAGGAAAACTAAAATCACAAAAGAAAAATCAATTTATTTGCCAAAATGAACTTGTTCTCCAATCTGAAATCCAGGGCGGGTCGGGGCGGGGTGGGGCTGCAGGCCTGGCTCCAGGACTCTGGCCTTCTTCTGCTTGACCTCTGTGCCTGTTCACATTCAATCAGATTCTCCCTCCGAACTTCGCATGAAGCTGCCTATGGATGTGCTGCCCTTTCTCCTTTCCAAACGAGGTTCGGTCGTCTGTCTCCACACCACTACACAGCAGAGGGTGACACCACCTATTAAGTCTGTGAGTCCTGTCTCAGTGTCTGCAGGGCTGACCTCAGCACCAGCGTGGCACAGAGCCCGAGGTGGCCTCCAGGGTGCGCTCTCATAGCCCGAGCTCACCCTCAGCACATCTTGTCCTGGATTCTGCCACCTTCCCTGTCCTTTAGTGGGAAGCTCTGGTTTCTCTCAGAAGCTCTTCATGCACTGCGTGGACCCTTCACAGAACTGGGTGGTTTTCAGGGCTAACTGGCAAGAGGAAAAAAGAGAGAGAAAATAAGCAGGATTCCCCAAATTGTGAAGCACAAAGCCCATTTTCTGAGGTCCTTGCCAGAGACAGGGTTTTCCTTTGCATTTCAGGAGCTTCTTCCCTGGCCATGGCTGCACCTTGAGGGCAGCAGCAGGGCCAGGAGAGGAGGAGGGGGAAGGGTGCCCAGCCAGCCCCCACTGTGGCTCTGACAGGCTCCTGTCCAGTCCTTTCTGCGTCCTTCCCACCCTGCTCATGGAGCAGTGCTGACACTCACCTCCTTCAGGACAGAGCTTAGATGCAGGCGGGGACCCACCAGGTCACTGCCATGCTGGTCACTCGTCCAGTCCTGACTTCCATCCCCAGTCTGCACAGCTGCTGCTTCGCTCTAGAATCCATGGACACCGGCTTCTCTGTTCTGTCCCGAGCTCTTGGTTGTCATCAGTGAGGGGGCGGCTGGCTCTGGACGTGCTCCATGCTGGTGGCTTCAGAACGATGTGGTCTCTTTAAAGGAACACAGGGGAGGAAGAGAATGAGTGGACAGCAGGTTGACTTTCTGCTGTGCACAAATCAGGGTGTTGTCTTTACTCACAGTCCTCTGAAGTGCTGTGTTGATTGGCAGGATGCACTTCTATTTTCTTCTCCTCTGGTTGCTCTTCCTGAAGAGGGTGCATGGAGTTGGCTGCACACGCACCTGGACCGGAAGGTGGGCGTGCCGTCCCTGTGCCCAGACGCACCCTGTTCGTGCTGCTCTGTGTCTGAGCCCCTCTCACCAGGCCGTTCAGGTCTGGACAGAGGCGGGACCAGCCATCGTGGCTCCTCCCAGGCCTTCCCGACACCACCTGTCCGTCTGTCCTGCACACCACTGGTCTGTGCTCCTTGCCAGCTGAATTTGGAGGGACAGGAAGCCTCCGGGGCACTTGGAGGAACCACACAGCAGAGAAGCCCTGGGTCCCTGAGTCCCTGTGTGGAGAGGATGAGCCCTGGTGGCTCCCTGGCCCACATCGTGGAACACAAGGACCAAGTAGATTTCACCGAGCTCAAATGCTGAAAAGTTAGTTAGGACAACTTACCGTTATGACTTTCATGGGCAGAGTCTCTGATGGGCAATTCGACTCTCCCTGGCTTGACTGCTGAGTAAGTGTCAGACTTTTGATGAGTCACTTTGTGTCCCTCATCTTCATTTAGCCCCCGGCTGAATGGGGTGTGTCGATTCCACCCACCAGCATTGCTTGTCCCTCTTCTCTGCCACGTTGGAAGATAAATCGAAGCCACCTGTGGAAGGAGAGCGCCTATGAAGATGAGGTATCATCATTACCTCATTCTGAGCACCCTTCTGCCAAGTACATAGAGGAAAATTATTAATCACCCCTTACCTGGACAGTGTAAGTATCGCGTCTGCAGCTGTGATCTGCCGATGATTAAAAAGCACTCATTCCACCGACGGTGCCGCCAGATCATCGCACATCCTTGAGGAGCATCACTCACAGGCACTGCTCCTTGACATCCTTCACGACCCAGCCGAGGTGCCCAGAAGGTCTTTAATGTACTCAGTAAAGTTTACTCCTAGGGTATTTTTTTTTTTTTTGATGCAGCTGTAAATGGGATTGTTCTCTTAAGTAAGAGAACCACCCTTTTGGTGGTTCGTTCTTGGTGCATTGAAAATGCAGCTGATTTCTGGGTGTTTATTTTGTGTCCTGCTACTTTACCGGATTCATGTCAGTTCTAGGAGCATTTGGTGGAACCTTGAGGGTCTCTGTGTACAGAACCTGCAAATAGTGACAGTGTCACTTCCTCCTTTGCGATGTGGACGCCCTTGTCCCCTTGTCCGGCTGCTGCCACGAGGACCCCAGCGCTGTGTTGGATGAGGGTGGTGAGTGCAGGCATCCCTGCCTTGCCCCCAGTCTTAAGGGAGACGCTTTCAGCTGTTTCCTGTTGAGTATGATGTTGGCCATGAGGTTGTCCTAAGTGGCCTTTGTGTTGACGTGTGTCCCCTTCATCCCCGTTGCTGCGAGTTCTTTGTCACAAGTGCTCAATTTTATCAAATGCTCTTCCTTCATCTGTTGATATGATTAGGTGATTTTCACCCTTCATTTTGTTCATATGGTGTATCACAGTTATTGATTTGTGGATATCACACCAACCTTGCATCCTTGGACTGCAAGGAGCTTTGTTAAGTCCACTTGATTGTGGTGTAGAATCTTATACATGTTGCTGGATCTGGTTGGCTCAAATTTTGCTGAGAATTTGAGCGTCTGTGCTCATCAGGGATATTGCCTATAATTTTCTTTCTTTGTCGTGTCTTTATCTGGTTTTGGAATTAGCACAATGCTAGCCTTGTAAAAGCAGCTTGGGAGTCTTCCCTCCTCTGGAGTTTCTTGGAATAGTTTGAGAAAGACAGGTGTTAGCTCAAAGACTTCTTTGAGTGTTTGGTAGAATTCACCTGTGAAGCCATCTGGTTCAGGACTTTTGCTTCTTGTTACTACTTCAATTTTATTCATTGGTCTATTGAGTTGGTCTATTCAGAATTTCCTCTTCTTCCCGATTCCGTTGGAAAGGTGGTGTGTTTACAGGACTTAACCCATTTTGTCCAGATTATCCACTGTGTTGGCTTGTAGTTGTTTGTACTGTTTCTTTATATGGCTTTGTATTTCTGTGGAGTCGGTTGTTACTTCTCTTTCATGTCTGATTTTATTTGGGTTCTGTGTTTTTTTTTCTTTTTCTTTTAAGTGATTTAGATAGAGAGAAGGGAGAGAGAGAGAGAAACATCAATCTGTTGTTCCACGTATTGATGCATTCATTAGTTGCTTCTGGTATGTGCCCTGAACAGGGATGAGACCTGCAACCTTGGCATATTGGCACGACACTCTAACCAACTGAGCTCCCAGCCAAGGCAAGTCTCCTTCAGTGTTAAATGACAGCCTTGCTGGGTGGAGTAGTCTTGGTTGGAGGTCCTTGCTTTTCATCCCTTGGACTATTATGGGCCAACCCTTCTTGCCTGAAACGTCTGCTGAGAAATCAGCTGACAGACTTACAGGAGCCGCCCTGTAGGTAGGGCTGTGTCTCTTGCTGCTCTTAAGATTCTCTGTGTCTTTAATGTTTGTTCCCTTAAATATGATGTGTCTTGGTGGGAGCCTCTTTGGGTTCACTTGTTTGGGACTCTCTGTGCTTTTGGCCTTGTGTATCTTTTTCCTTCTCCAGATTAGGGGAGTTTAAAAAATATATTTTCTGTACTTATTTTAAGAGCAAGAGGAAGGGAGAGAGGAAAAGAAGAGGAGAAACATCGATGTGCAAGAGATACATCCATCAGTTGCCTGTTGCATGTCCCCAACAGTGGACCTGGCCCCAACCCAGGCATGTGCCTTGACTGGGAATTGAACCAGTGACCTTTGGGTCCACAGGCTGGCACTGAGTCCACTGAGCCAAACCAGCCAGGGCTTTTTTTTTTCCTTACCTGAAGACATGCTTACAGAGAAGAACGGGGAGAGAAGAACATGGATCGGTTGCCTCCTGTGTGAGCCCCAACTGGGGACCCAACCCATCAGCTTTGTGGAAGACCCTCCAACGAACTGGCCCACCCGGCCAGAGCCTGGGTAGGGAAGTGTGTAGTCATGATCACCTCCAATAGGTGATCTGTCCCGTCTCTTCCTCTTCCTTCCCTGGTGCTGCTGTGATGTGGGTGTTGTTACACCTCATGTCGTCCCACAGGTCTCTTCAACTGTTTTCATTTTTAAATATTTTTCTCTGTTCTGGTTGTGTTTCCTGCCATCTTGACTTCCAAATAGCTGGTTTGATCCTCTCCTTCATCCAACCACTTATTCCTTCTACTATATTCATTTCAGATGTTATGTCCTTCACTTCTAACTTATTTTTTTTACTGCTTCTCTGTCCTTTTTCATGCTTACTATCTCTTCGTTTCAGTCCTCACTAATTGCGTCCGCTCTTCCCGTCAGTTTTGGGAGTATCCTTGGGCTCTGTGGCTGTGGACTCTCTCTGGTTGAGTTCCGGCGTGCACTGCATTTGGCTGTTTCTCTGGAGATTCCTTCTGTTTTCCACTTGGGGCTGCTGCTCTGTGTCCCCGCTTTGGCCGCCTCTCTGTGTTTGTTTCTGTGTATTAGGTAGATCTGCCACGATCCCCAGTGTTGGCAGGGCGGCCTCATGGTGTGGGTGTCCCGTGGGACCCAGTGGTACAGTCTCCTGATCGCCTGAGTCGGGTGCTCCAGGAACGTCCCTTGTGTGGGTCCTGAGGGCCCTGAGTCAGTCCAAGACTGTGCTGGGAGGCCAAGGTCACTGGGGCAGGACAGCTGGGAGCCGGGAGTGGGGAGGTGCGGGCGTGTCCCCTTTTCGTGTCTCTGCACTTCCGACCGGCCTCCCTGTGGCGGCCTCTTGAAATCCTTGGTTATAAGACTTCTCTTCAGCTGGTCTTCAGTTGGTTGTTCTGGTCTGGCTTGTTTAATTGTAACTGCATTTTGGTCCTGAAAGGAGGCAAGCGTGATATGCAATTGCTCCTCTGCCATATTGGATCTCTCGAGATGTCCTTCCTTTAAGGAGGAATAATATTCTGTTTTATCCATCGGCCACGTTGAATTTACTCATTCACCTGTCAGTGGAACCCTTGAGTTGCGTCCACGTTTTCGCCACTGTGGGAAACGCCGTTGTGAACAAGGCCGTGCACGCATCTCTTCCAGATGCGCCTTCAGTTCTTTAGTTCTGGGGTTTTCATTGTGTTGCGGGGGAACCTCCATGCTGTTCCTCACAGCAGCTGCAGCAGTGAAGGATGTGAGGCCCGGGCTGGCTTTCTCTGCCAGAGTGGAATTAAAAAGTCCAAGTAGGCCACATGCCCGCACTTCAGGAGTCCAGGCCCCGCAGTCCCGTGAGAGCAGCCATGTGGAAGGGCTCTGCAGAGGGTCCCTGGGTTCTCAGAGGCCAGGGAGCTGCTTCCAGCTGCGGGTGAATCCTGGGTCCTTGGGATGTGGTGGTGGGACGAGAGCATGCTGGGGTCATGGGGCTGTGACCCTGTCACTGTGTCATGAAGAGGTTTGTCCCCTCGTATGTGCGGATCCTAGCAGATGCCTCCCTCCATTTGCTTCTTAAGAGAAGTGCAGTTGTGTTCAGATGTCCGCCCAGATGCGTGGTAACCGGCTGCCCGGGCAGTCTCCTCCCAGCCTCTCCCTAAGGGCTGGGTGAGCCAGGCGGGCTGGGGTACATGGGAGGGTGGGTGGGTGGGCGGCTAAGGATCCCTTGCGTGGGGGTAAAAATGCTGTTGGAATCATGAAGGGTTTTTAAAATTTTGTTCTGTGTCTGCTCCCACTCTAGAACGAAGCAGCCGAGTGAACGCTTAGCCCCCTCTCAGGGCAGCCCAGCTCTGCCTGCACCAGCACAAGAGGCCACCCGGACAGGACAGAGGCCCCACGGGGAAGGAGATGGGCCACTTCTCTCCCAGGTGTGTGAGTCTGTCCCAGCAGTGGGTCCGTCTGCACTGCTGACGGCTGCTGGAGCCAGCAAGGCCTTTAGACACGACACTGACATGATCTGATTTATACTTTTTAAAGGTCACTCTGCATTATATGTCTATGTATTTTTAATAATCTAAGTTTTTTCAATTAGAGTTGACATCTAGATTTAGATTCAGGTGCACCATGTAGTGGTTAGACATTTTAAGGTTACAGAGTGATCTCCCCAGTAAGTCTAGTAGGGGTGTCTTTCAACTGGGTGTGCATCCTATTCACAAGAGCTCTCCCCTCAAAGGCCCCACCTTTTATTTATTTGTGATTTATCTCACTGGGGTGCCCCTGGTTCACACAAGGATTTGGTTTTCAGCAGCACAGTTGCACAGAACCTCATGTGTATATTGCACTGTCTGTTCACCCCCAAGTCAAGTCTCCTTCCATCACCATTGCCTCCCCCTGGACCCTCTTCTCCCCTCCCCCCACCCCCTGGAGGTCACCCGGTGATTTGACATTTAAAATGATGTTTGAGATGCGTGTCGAGGGCACAGGCCATGGAGCTGCGATTTCCAACACATGTGCCTCGGCCCACTCGTGTGGCGCAGCAGTTTTTAAAACACCCCACACCTGACTGTTGATTCAGGGCACTGCCTTCTTTCCAAGGCTATTGCCATGTTTTCCTCTTTCTGTCTTTCTTTTTTCTCTTTTTCCTTTTTTCTCAGGTGCTTCTTTCTAAGGAATTGTGCTTTCCGTTTTCTAAGATCTGAAACGGCCAAGCAGCATTTCTTTAGGCCCCAACTTGAAGCCAGGGTGTCATACTTGTCGGGCACTGTAAGGGGACAGGCCTGTGCCCAGCCTGCACAGTTCGGTGCCGCGCCCCCTGGGGACCGGGCACACCCGTGGAAAATCGCTCGTGTAGACAGATGCACAGGGTGAGGTGTGGTTCAGGCACAGAGGGCGGGCACGTGGCCGGGAGGCAGGAGACGTGGAGACTGGAGGCCCAGCACAGGCCCCGCAGAGGCCCATGAGCGAGGGGAGGGGACAGGAAAACAGAAGGCCCAGCAGGAGGGAATGGGAGGGGACAGGGGGACAGAGAAAGGGACAGGACAGGGACCCTAGGAGGGACAAGGAAGGGGGACATGAGAGGCCAGGAAGGACGGGGTGGGGGGACAGGGGAGCAGAGACAGGGGTAAAGAAGGGGGGATAGGGGACTGTCCATAAAAGGGGGGCTGGTTTCCCTGTCACCTGTCCCTCCTCCCCTTTCTCTCCAGCTCTCACCCTTTCATGGAGGGTCCCCTGTCCCCTGCCTTCCTCCGGGGGTCCCCTGTCCCCTACCTCCATGGAGGGTCCCCTGTCCCCTGCGCTCCCCCATGGAGGGTCCCCTGTCCCCTGCCCTCCCCATGGAGGGTCCCCTGTCCCCTGCCCTCCCCATGGAGGGTCCCCTCTCCCCTGCCCTCCCCACCACCATGGAGGGTCCCCTGTCCCCTGCCCTCCATGGAGAGTCCCTATCCTGCTTCCCTGCTCCCCTCCATGGAGGGTCCCTGTCCCCTCCCTTCTTCCCTCAATGGAGGGTCTCTATCCCCCCTCCCCTCCCCCTCCATGGAGGGTCCCCTGACCCCTACCTCCATGGAGGGTCCCTGTCCCCTTCCCTGCCCACCTCCATGGAGGGTTCCCTGTCCCCTGCCCTCCCCACCTCCATGGAGGGTCCCTGTCCCCTCCGTTCTTCCCTCAATGGAGGGTCCCTATCCCCCTCCCCCTCCATGGAGGGTCCCTATCCCCCTCCCCCTCCATGGAGGGTCCCTATCCCCCTCCCCCCTCCATGGAGGGTCCCTATCCCCTTCCCCCTCCATGGAGGGTCCCTATCCCCCTCCCCCTCCACAGAAGGTCCCTATCCCCCTCCCCCCTCCATGGAGGGTCCCTAACCCCCTCCCTCAGCCTCCATGGAGGGACCCTATCCCCCTCCCCTCCCCTCACCCTCCATGGAGGGTCCCTGTCCCCTGCCCTCCCCACCTCCATGGAGGGTCCCTATCCCCCTCCTCCCCCCCCCCTCCATGGAGGGTCCCTATCCCCCTCCCCTCCCCTCCCCCTCCATGGAGGGTCCCTATCCCCCTCCCCTCCCCTCCCCCTCCATGGAGGGTCCCTGTCCCCCTCCCTCCCCCTCCATGGAGGGTCCCTGTCCCCCTCCCCTCCCCCCCTCCATGGAGGGTCCCTATCCCCCTCCCCTCCCCTCCCCCTCCATGGAGGGTCCCTATGCCCCTGCCCTGCCCCCTCCATGGATGGTCCCCTGTCCCCCCTCCACTCTCTCCTCCTTGGTGGGTCTTCTGTGTCCTGTCCCTGTCCCGTCACTCACAGGTCTCCTTGGGGCCTGCACCATGGTCTCCATCTTCACGTCTCCTGCCTCCGGGCCGTGGGCCGTGCCCGCCATCTGCACCCGAAGCACACGTCTCACCCTCCTTATCTGTCTCCCCTGGACCTGTGCTCTCACAACAGATCTCAGATGTCATTTAAATGTCAAATCCCGGGTGGTCTTTAAAAATATAAACCAGATGATGCCCTTCTCGTGCCTACAGCCTTCATGGCTGTGATGGCCTCTTCCACCCACCAGAGGCCCTGTAGCCGCCCTGCCCCCTGCCCTGCACCCTGGCCAGCCTGGCTGTGCCCTGCTGGGGGCCCTTGCTGTTGCTTTGGGGGTGGCTTCCCCAGTTCTCCATGGGGCCAGCTCTGTCTCAATAGCCAAATCTCACTTTAAGTATGACAAGGTCTTGGGGAGCCCTTCCCTGCCACTGCTGGGGAGTCCCTGCAGCGGCCCCAGCCCAGCACTGTTTGGTATCAGGTGGCAACAGGTGACAGAAGTAACACAGGTCACAATGGTAAGACAGGTCATAGAGGTATCCTAGCAACTGTCCTGGGTCAGCCAGGGGGCCCAAGGTAACCAGTTGAGGCTGGATGAAGGGACCCCAGGCCAAGTTTTTCTAGGGCCCCTGGAAGCTGGGAGTGGCTTTGTCAGGGACATGGAAGGGAACAGTCCCCTAAGGAGAGGATGCTGCCAGCGCCCCACAAGCAAGGGACCAGGCTTCCTGGAGCCTCTGGGGTGGAGCGCAGCCCCATGAACCCCAGTTTTCTTGCCACAGCACCTGGGAGTGCACCCTCTGTGCTGAGGGAGCTCCTTCTGAGTTCCTCAGGGCTGTGGGGGAAGACCCTTGTCATCCCTCTCACTCCCTAGTCGCATTGCCTGAGTCTGGTATCTTCCTGGCTCCTGGCATCTTCCCAGACACAGTGCCATTCTGTCCACCTGTCTGTCTCCCCGCCCCTCTCAGCACCTGGAAGGGGGCCACAGAGGCGGGGACGCCACTCATGTTTCTGATTTCATAAAATTTGACTGTTGTCATAAAACTGACTCATGAACATATGATTCCTCAAACGTCTTAAAGCATCTCAAATAAATAAATTCACAAGTAAAAAAAAATCTTTTCACCTTTTGTCAAACCTGCATCTCAGATTTTGGTGCAGAGGTGCCACCGGGCCGCCTCCTGGAGGGGGCAGGTCCTGCCTGCAGACCAGGCTCTCACAGGATGTGCCATTGTCCCCATTCCCACAGGCCGGCCCTTTGGTGCTCCTGACGCCTCATCTCATGGTCACCCGCCTGCTGTGGCTTCTGGCAAGGCTGGGGGCCTCCCATCCTGGGCCATCACAGCTCTGGTGACCTTAACTCCTTGAGGTCTCATTCTTGGTTCTTTCTTACTTGGGGATGAGGAATATGGCCACCGGAAGTAGGGGCAGCTCGGATGCTGTGGCTCGTGGCTGCAGGCCCGTGTGGGGAGTGGATGGTGTGGAGCAGCCCCTCCTGAAGCCGCTGCTAGCCGGCCTGTTGCCTGGCCATGCCCTCGATGGCAGCTCCCTTCTGGTTTTGTTTGAGGCTGTCAGGGACAGTGTCGGGGACAGAGTGATGTCGGGTGTCTGGTTGGTCTCCCTGGGATTAAGCAAGCAGGTGCTTTGGAGGCAGGAGGGGCAGACACAGCTGCCCATAGCGGGGTGCTGTTCCCCTCGGGAAATGCTTGTCCTCAGCAAACACCAGCCGATCCAAAAGCAGTTCTGCAGAGGGATGGGTTTTCCTTCCAAAGGTGAGACTAAAAACTAAGATGCAGCGAGGGCTTTGTTGGGAAAACCCGGATGAACCAGTCCTGCAGAAGGTGTCTGTTAGCTCCACACTGTGTCTGGGAAGCAGGAATGAGGGGCACAGTGGCAGATGCCAGGCCAAAAAGTATCCACATTCCTCACTGACATTTCAGCCATGGCTATGAAGACCCACAGGAAACAGCAGCTGCCCGGGCCCCCGTGGTGTTGTGGGGCCAGTCACCCCCCTGACTCGGGTAGAAGAGCATTCGGACGAGACTCTGTGATCCTGAGACTGATGGAGAGGTTGCCCTGCCTGCCCTGCCTGGGGCCCTCTTTCTTTCAGGTGGCCATACTTGGCCGGCCATGTGCTCAGCTGTCCCCGAGTCACTGAGCAGCTCTCTGGACACTGAGCTAGGACCAGAGCAGTGTCCAGGGCCCCCTTCAGACGCCCTTATCATGGAGGAGACAGCCTTTGTTTCAGAGCAATCACTTCCCAGTAGCAGCCCTGGGGTTGGACCCTCACCTCCTCCCCCAGGCCATTAACAGTAGCCACTGATTTCCTGTCCACAGCCCCAGGCTTCAGTGAAACTCAGAGTCTTATCTCTTGGGAGGTTTTCTTCCAACTGCACCCAACGGCATCTCCAGCAGGAGTCAGCATTGATGTTTCTGGTCCTCTCAACCCCAGAGGCAGCCTTTCATGTCCTCTGTCTGTCCCTGTCCCACCACACCTGTCAGTCAGCTGGTGATTGTCACAAGCCCTGTGTATGCGCTTCAAGACCTCCCTCCCTCACCTGCACAACCTCTGGCTCATGTACAACTTCTTCACTGGGAGGAGACAACAGCAGCAATATGGGTGGTGGGCATCAGCCCATTTACAGAT